GCTCTGTGGAGATGGGCGTATAAATGTTAATGCCTGGGAAAGGTAGAGAGGTTAGACTGAGAATATTGCCATAATGTGCAAGGAAAGTCATTTTTGGAAACGAGATTGTTTTACATAATTTTGTCAAAATGTTTCCTAGGGTGAGGTAGGAGGTAAACCATGTAGTTAACATGGTCTTACCACATCAGTCTCTCCTTTTTTATGCTATTCTTGTTTTTCATATAATACTTGAGCTAGAAATTACCTCATCTGTTTTTTGATTCTGAAATGTTATTTACACTGAGATCACTGCATTTTAATTTTGATGTCAGGTTTTACTGAGGAGTGCTTAGGTGTATAAAATAATTCTCTTTCAGGAGGTAACTTGTAAGACATCAGAGATACTGTTGGCATGAATGAACCTTATGAAACTTTCTGGGCTCTAGTGCATGACAAATGCTGCTACTGGAAATGCTGAAGTTGTCTTTAATTGCATTCTTTTTTGCTGAGCCTCAAAGGCTGCATGTTTGTCTCTATTCTATGCGATGCTCAACTCTCCTATGCTGCCCTCCTGACTCTTGAGCCATTCTATGGTTATAACAAAATTAGTAAAACAGCTAACCTGGAAGATACTGTTGTACATCTGGACAAGAAGTAGGCAATACGAACTGATCTAGCTATACTTGCAACATAATACTGTAAATAGGGGGTTTTAGCTAGCACTGTAGGTCAGAAAAATCTGGGAAGTATATTCATCTGGTTACCTTCAGGGCACAGTTTAAAGCACAAGTGCAGATCATTTCAGTAAAGATTCCAGAACTGGGGAAAAAAAAGCGCTTTCAGTTTAACAGAATAAGCTCTTAATATTCTGCAAGATCTGTCTTTTCAGCTATTATCCCATGTACAGTCTTTAACAAAATTATTTTCTCCTTGGTAGGATTGCAGTGCTCACCTCCTACAAGGCCTGTATCTCTAAAATATCCAAAATGGTGAAACTGTGAGCAACTGAGTCTGCTGCAATTATAACAAAAAGACGAAGTGAAATGTGTCCTCTGAACTTGAGAAAGCGTGAGAGGCACAGCTCAGCCATGTCCCCATTTTCCTGGCACAGAGCCCATTTGTCTTATCAAATCAAATGCAGGATTAAAACTTCTGGTGTCTAGAGAGGAATTGGTAGGAATTGATGAATGCCTTGGTTTATCTGCTTGATCAGATAAGAGGTGCCTCTAGCCAGATATTCTGTCTTCAGAAGTGGATGGATAATAATGGGGAGGGAAAATAGAAGAGCAGAGTGTCTGTTCCCCACCTCCTTTCCAGGAATGGGTGGTTTAGCACAGCTGGGACTGCAGCTGGATGCCATGCTTCATGCTATGTCCTATTGATTCATTCACTCTGTTGACTCCCTGCAGGCATCTTGACTTTTTTTGCAGTGTCCAGTGGTAAGAGTATTACAACTATTTTTAGGTTGGGGAGAGCTGAAAGAGGAAGGAGGGCTTGTCTGAATTTATAGCTAATCCCAAACAAATGAAGAAGCAGGAGCCTTCACTTTCTGGAAGCTGGCACCAACAGTTTTTAGAGCAAACAAACTTGGAAAAATGAAACCATTTTGGAGCAGGAGAATACTTCCTGTGAGTTTGAGACTGTCCTGCAAAAATCAAAAGAGGCATAATGAGAAAAGAGCCAGAACGATGTTGGCTGCTGGCAGCGTTATCTGAATTTGGATTGAAATTTCTGTGGGGTTTGAGTGAATGTAAAGTTATTGTAAAACTTGCCTGAGTTCTTGAGATTCCCTAGTCAGCTTCTGTTTACTTGTATTCTGCTGTCTTGAATTTATTTTTCCCCTCTTGGAGCAGTCAAATCATGAAACCTTTGAGGTTGCTTTCAGGTCTGCTATTTCAGCATGGCTGGAGGGGAGGAGGAGAAGCAAAGATCACATTCTGTTTTTGAAATGTGTTGTCTCTAGAATATCACCCTTTGGCACTGCTTTGAGGAAATTGAGATATAGTTCAGTGTAACTTGAATGTAGAGGTTTAATACTTTTTTTTTTTTTTTTTTTTTTCAGAGCAGTGGCATTCCTTTGCCTTTTACACTCCAGGTGCACTGGGTTTTAGTCCCAGTTGTATAGTGTTGCAATGTAGTGTGATGTAAAAGTAGAAGAGTGCAACATAGTTTACATTCTCAATCTGCGTCAGCCAAATCTTGTTTCCAATAGTATGTCGTAATAAGTTAGTGATGGAATCTTTGGAGTTGGAAGGGATTTTTAAAGATCATCTAATTCAACTCTCCTGCAATGAACAGGGGCACCTGCAGCTCGATTAGGTTGCTCAGAGCCTGATCCAGTGTGACCCTCAATGCCTCCAAGGAAAGGACATCCACCACCTCTCTGCATAAGCTGTTATAGTGCTTCACCACCCACAGAATCACTAAGGTTGGAAAAGACCTATAAGATCATCCAGTCCAGCCATCCACCCGTTGCGAAAAAAAAAGTTTCCCTTATGTTCAATCCAAATGTTTCCTCTTCTAGTTTGAAACTATTTCCCCTTGTCCTGTCACAACAGATCCTGCTAAAGACTCTGTCCTCTTCATTCTTATAATCTCTCCTTAGATACTGAAAGGCTGCTATCAGCTCTCCCCAGAGCCTTCTCTTCTTTAGACTAAACAGCCCCAGCTCTCAACCTGTCCTCATTGGGAAGGCATTCCTTCCCTTGGATCGCTTTTGTGGCCCCACCCGGATGTGCTCCAGCAGCTCCACATCTCTCCTGTACTGAGGGATGCACATCTGGACACAGCATAGAGCAGAGAGGCAGGATCACCTCCTCGACCTGCTGACTGCACTTCATTTGGTACATCCCAGAATATGGTTGTTTTGTTAGGCTGTGAGGGCACATTGCTGGCTCTTGTCCAGCCTACCATCCACAAGTAACCCCAAGTCTTTTTTGGCAGGGCTGTGCTCCATTCATCCATACTCCTACTTGTACTGATAGCAAGAGTTGCCAGAACCCAGGTGCAAGACCTTACATTTAGATTTATTGAACCTATGGGTCCACTGCTTGAGCTGGTCTAGGTCTCTGAATGGCATCCTGTCCCTCAGGTGCATCAATCACACTGCACAACTTGGTGTCATCCGCAAACTGTGGAGGGTGCACTCAGTCCCACTGTCAATGTCATTGATGAAAGAAGTATTTTAAGCAAGAAGCTTTAGAACAAACTCTTAATCATCAACAAAAATTGTGACAAACCATAGCATTCTTAAAAAAGAAGGTATAAGCAGAAAAAACCCTCATCATATGGATGAGATTAGCTGGTAATTAAAAAGCCAACCAATTTGAGTTAAGAGGTGGATTAATTAGATAAAACACTGGGAAATCTAATTTACTCAGCAATTTATTTTTAATCCAAGTCAAGAAGATCTTATCATGGCATCTATGAAGCTTGGAGGAACCCAGTCAGATTTAATTATACTCTTGTGTAATGACCCACATCTCTTAAGTTTTATGATTGTAATTTATTTTATTTATAAATAGCTGTATGTTTAAGATCTAAAGAGAGTATAAGACTATTCAGTAGGCAGTTTTGATGCATTAATACTGAAACTGCAGGTGGAGACAATTTTATGCTGTTATTCTTGAAATACAACTGTTGGCCTGAAGTACCAAATTTTCTTTATTCCTTCCTATGTACCAAAAATCCATTTTCTTGTTCAAGTGTTAGAACTGTCTTTTTTTTTTTACTACTAAATGTTCAGGGGAGGGGTAAGACAATGAATACATATTCCCTGTGTAACACTATGTGCCTTGAAGGCTAATTTTCTTGCAAACTTTACTAACCAGATCCCCTAGTCAGAAAATGCAGGTATCCAAAGTTAAAATTGTGCAGAACTGAAAGTGGATATTAGTGAAGGTGCTGCAAATAAACTCACTTGTTCAGGACTAGATAAAGCTCTGCAATAACTAGGAGCTCTGCAATATGGGTACACAGCAGCTATTTTATTGAGTTTCCCCATATGACTTGAAATATTTAGTTTAACTGCCCTGAGCAAACAGTCTTGTATTGATGCAGTTTTCTCCTATTTTACGGAAGTACGTGAAGGTTAAGCATCCTCAGGCCTGTGGCATGGTTCACAGGGTAATCCAGGATGATGTCACCCCATCCCATTCCTGCAGCAGGGCCTGTGCTCCAGCTTGTGCATCAGGTCCCAAAGGTACGACTTGTGTGGCTCCTGCCAGCTATGGAGGCTGTGTAGGTACTTTGACTTTAAAAGGAGGGGGAAACGTGGGTATGTGTTTTTTTTCATTCTGCATCTTGTGTAAACGAGGTAACTTTTCTTTGACTGAAAAATATATGTGAGAGGCTGTAAATGCGGATTCTTACAACTCTTTAACAAACCTGTTCTAAGGTGAAGACTGAAGAACAGAAACCAATGTGCTGTCTGTGCACTGAAACTTCAGAAGTAGAGAGTGAGGCAGATCTCAGCCCAGTGAGGACTGGGGCACTGTTTTTGAAGGAGGAGACTTACTGAAGAATACATTTTTGAGGAGAGAAATCTCTTAGACTTGAGTTGTACTTCTTTCAGCCATAAATGCATATTCTAAAAGAGGCAGAAAAAAGTTCAGGGATGTTAATTGTTAAAACTTTGAAATGTTTTCAGTTAGGCTATTCTTAAATCTCCAGTCCCCATTACAAATAAATAATCCTTCAGAAAAAAGATAGAGACTATCCTAAGAAGGTATTTTTTTTTCAATTTGTCTTCCATTAAAACACCTTCAAAACCACCTTCATATCCTATTTTTTTTTTGCATGAACTGAATGAATTTTTAATATACCTTTCAGTTCTGCAACCAACTCAACATATACATTATTCATGTGGATCTGCATCTCCAGATAATTATAAGGAACATCCTGAGTAATGTCAGAGGTGTTTGTGCTAGCATAGGAAAGGTGAGTCAGGAAGCAAGAAAAACTTCTTGCTGCTCTGCTTGTAAGTCAGCTATATCCCAGAGAGAGCTTGCATGGCCAGGAAAGAAGTTGTTGTAACCAGACTTGTTCAAAAATAAGTTTTTTCCCAATACTCTGCTTTTGTGGTCCGTTCTTAGTATTTCAGTGGCTCTACAGATCAACTCTAGATGTGCTTAGGTACAGCAGCTAGATTCAAGATAAGACATTCTTCAAGTGTGTGTTTCATATCTATGGGCATAAGATATAAGATTTGAATGTTTTCAACCCAATTGTTACTTCAGAATTACTTTAAGGAATTCAAAGTGAGGTCTGTCTTTGACTTCCAATTGTACTATGTGAAACTTTGGTAAATGCAGCTGTGTTTGAAGACAGCAGTGTATTCTTTAGCTGGATCTGAGCTGTGTTGGCAGGTTGTGTTTTCCAAAATTACGTGAAAGAGAGACTGTAGGCAGCAGTGCTCTTGTCCTGCCATTCCATCAGTGCACATCTTCATCATCTTGAACGCCATCCTGTGATTAAAGGGCAAAAGGGGAGGGAGTGGTAGCTGGCTGATAGGCATCAGTGCTTATGCAGTCTGTCTTATTTGCTAAGGCTGCCAGTAATTGCACTGGAATGAAGATACTCAATAATACTTTGTTCCTGTGAGATCACTTTTGAAGAATTTCATAGAATGTACTGTAATTATGATGGCCACAATATGTGATACTGGATTCTGCTTCAAGAGCCAAAACTAGTGATTTAAAAGTGCAAATCATCCTCAGGCTCTGGAAGAATAGGGGGAAATTGATTAGAAAGGAAAGCTTAGAATTGGAAACTCTTAAGCAGAGGTTTACCGTGCTATGGAAATGTGCATTCTTGGCTGGTGTTACCCAGAAGGCATTCCCCATTCCTTGATGAAGTGAAACGAGCCTCTGCAGACCAACAGACAAGTGGGGCTGCAATAAATGTAAGAAATATAAATGAAAGGCTACCATTTAGATGTAGAAAAACAGTTTTTAAAAGATTAGGGAAACTGAAGACATAGAAAGGAAAATAGAGGCAGAAGGGGAAAGATTTCTTGTGTATTGGGTGGGGAAAGTTCTGATGTGTTTCTAAAAACAGTTGTAAGCAGAATTTCTAGAATTTGTATAAATTTTAATAAGAATGCACCAAAGTTAAAAGCTCTTGGGAAATGCCTGAGCTATAAGTAGAAGAATTTAATTAAAGTCCGTCCTACAGATTTTTTTTATTTTTTTAGGAAAATAACCCTAGGCAAGCCCGGAGCTTCCTTCGAGATTACAACTTAAATACAGCTGCATTAATTTAACTCCTATAAGCTTTTAAAAGGTACTTGATTAAGAAGTCTAGTGTTTTGGTTCTGAAATGTATGGACTAGAAATGAACAAACTGATCTCAAAGGTAGATGCTAACAGGATATTGTTTGTTTCATCTAAGGTCACTGATCAATGTCAGTGATTGCAAAGTAACATAACAGCATTTTTTAGCAATTGTTTGGAACTGACATGTGAGTTAGGGGAGGGATAAATAAAGTTTAAAACTCTGGCATAGAGAAATGTCCATCTTTTACCTGGTTTCTTTCAAGGGTTTTTGATTTACTGGAGGAAAACTGGATATTTGAAATATTGAATCATGATTTTCTCATAGAATGTGTCCAGTATGTTTGTATGTGAGCTTTGATAGGTATAGAATGCAATGTACCCTGGAGGAAAAAAGCATCCAGTAGGGACTTCTGTAGAGTGATCTACTTGGGCAGGTGAGTACTGGAGCAGCCAAGGACACATGGGGTTCTGGACAATAAAGAGCAAGGCTTTAAGGAAACTGGAGAAGCAAACAGCTCACTGCTGCATAGCCCTGGAGAATCCTAAAATGGAGGCTGCAAAATTAGAGGGATTAGATGTTTTTCTTTCAGTAGTAGCTTGCATGTTATGTCCTCTTACTGCCATCACTTCTACTTGGCAGCCAGGAGAACTAGCAAGTTCCCTCCTTCTTGTGACACTTCCATTCTAGAACAAGGGACTTCAGTATATCTGGCCCATCCATTGCTAAATCATCACTTCCAAGGAAAGGGATGCATTTCAGATAACTTACCCAGGGAACTAAAAGCTGAAAAATACATGCTCTAAACTGGATTAAACCTCTGCAGGCTTTGTCCCAGTTTTCTCAGTTAATTTTGCTAATTTCTTCCCCCTTGATAGTTCAATACCTCACTGACTTAAAATGTGCTGTTGGCTTGTGGTACTCTCCTTGCTTTAGCCTGTCCAGTATGTTTTCTCCAAGTACCTTTGATTTAAAAGGCTCCAGTTTTTCCTCTTTTGGCAGGCTAGCTCCTTCAGAGTACTCAGATAAATTTTCATGCCCTCTAAGTCTCTGACCAGGTGATAGCTTGCTCTTCTTGACTGAAATCATGTCTGGATTGACCTTAATGCTTCTCCCTCTGTCTCTGGAGTTACCTATTGTCTCTTGACTTGAAACAGTGCAACTGTTCAGTATTGCTGCCTGAAGACTTTTAATTGCATTGTTGATTCCTTAGCTTTCCCTGCTGGGTGCCTGAGCTCTGTAGCTCAGGTCTTTGCTGTTTTGCCCTTTTACTCTTTGAACTCATCAATTTCCTCAAGTTCACTGGCCCTACTGGATAGCTTCACTGACTATAGCTTCATTCAGTGCAGCTGAATCCTTTGTAATGATATTCAAACACTCTTCTGCCTCTCATCAGCAGTTAAGTGTTATAATGCATCTTTTTTCTATTTAATTTTTTTCTGATAGCCCACTAATCTATCACCTAGCATTTTTCTGGCCTGCTTCCAGTCTGTAAATATTGGGTGAGTTTACCTACTGGTGCATCAGGCCAAAATTACTATTGCAGTGCCTCTTGCTCAAACCCAGCCTTTCAGTATCTGCAGATATTTACATATGTATGGACATCTTGCATTCATTACAGGTTATTGTCTTCAGGAGACATGCTTGAGATTGGGATGTTTTTTTTAATTTTTAAACTAAGTTGAAATCTTGATGACTTCTGATAGCTTGCAGTTGTTGTTTTTGATTTACTTTGATTATTTGACTTTACTGCACTTGGAACTGTTGCCAAAATCCAACAGGATCTTGCTAGAAGGGAAACCATATTCTTGTATATTATCATTACACAACATGGAAATAGAATTGAAGACCTTTGGTCTTACTGTTGTATCTAGCAGAACTTCTGTATCTTCACTGCTCCACTAATAAAAACAGTAGATGCTGGAAAATGTTACAAAAAATGAATGAACCAATGGCCACCACTAAGTGTGCATTATTGTAGTTCTTTATATACTAATTGACAATGTTTCTGCAAAATAATGTTCATTATGGATAATTTTGTGGCCACTCTAATTGATACTATAATGCACTCAGGAGCTTATTTGCCAAAATGATATAATAACAATATGATCTAGTGCTTGGAAACTAATCTTAGATCATAAGTTGATGTCATTGCACCAGCTAACAGGGCCTACAGAGATCATCTGTATCCAACTGGTATGGCTTTTACTGTAGCCTTTTCCTTAGAAGGGCCAACCTAGGACAACCTATAGACAGTCTATATAGATATATGTATACGTATGTATGTATATGTATCTATGTACTGTCAGGAGAAGACAGAAGAGTGCAATCTGACCATCAAGCCAGTTGAGTAGGTAGATAGAATGGCTTGTTGGAGGAGAGGAGACTGTTTTCTTTTTGATTCTGCTGCCTTTCACTAATACCACATTAAAGAAGGGGCTACTGAGGAGGCAGTCTGTGCTGTCTGGTTCTGTGCAGAGTTTGACATAAGCTAAGTTGCCTCTATTTAAGGAACATAAGGGTCTTCAACACTAATGTTTCTCATGATGAATAGCACCTCAGAGGGTGAGAATCTTTTCTATATTTGTTTTGCTTCCATATTTGAGTCAATAAACTAAAATAAATACAAATGTTAATTTCCCTCTGAATTAGGGATACTCCTGCATATCTACCTCTGAGGAGGTTTTGCACATTCATTTGTATCCTGTATTTAATGTTAGGATTTTGTGAAAATAATTGTTCTAAATAATTTCAAGGGATCTCATTTTGCTGATAAAATTTGTAGGACAAAAGTGGCAAAAGGCATGGGGGGATCCCCAGCAAGAACAACTGCCAGGCTGCTAAGCCAATTTGATATCTGTCTGATTCTTTCTTTTGTCAGAAAAAATGGTTTAAATTAGAAGAGAATCAAGTCCACTTGAAGAAACCAAATATGATCATGTTATACTGTGATTTAAAGGAATAATTTACACTGTGCAGAGAGAATGCCTTAAAGTTTTGTGAATTCCTACGCTAAAAATTTAGAGCTGTTTTGTTCATCTGTCTTTATTTCCATTTGAGAGCTGATTTTGGCTCCATGGGCTTATAATTGAAATTTGATGTTGTTTGTTCATATTAAAATATCGTTGATATGCAAAATGGCACACATGACTGTATTTGATTTGTAAACGGCTGCTTTAAAATGGATGATCTTGAATATTAATGAAAGGAGCTTTCGAACAAATTGCCGTTTTCTTTCCCTCCCCTGTCCCCTCTTTTTGATGTTGATGCAAAAGGTTTGACAGCACGGAAATTATGAAAATAAGCAAATTCATTTCATCAAGTGCACCATTAATTTTTCATTAACAATTTGAAAGGCAGTGCCTCAGCTCTTCATATATATAGTGTCATGCACCAGTTACTCTATATAGTGTACTCTGCCTTGATTTCTGTAGGCTTGTTGCACAGTCTTATCATAAGTTATTAAGAAGTTTGTGTCTTCCTTAATCGGATCTTTTTGAACTAATGGAACCATTACCATTCCTGCTCCGACTATCTGGGCTTTCTGAGCGATGCATTATATGCAGTGCATGTTTTTGTCAGAGCTTCATACAACGTAGTTTTAGAGCTAAATTAAAGTTCCTTTCATCCATTAGCTGGAATTTCAGCTCGTGCTTCTTGCTCTGTAGAGCAGATAGTTTTATTTCATTGGGTGCTGATTTCGGTTTTTAGACATATATACTCTAAGTCTTCAAAAGGAGATTAGAAATTGTATTGCAATGAACTTCTTGACAGAATTTGGCCTTGGTCGTCAAATAAATAAAAGGTAAATATAAACTAGATCTGGTTTAAATGCAAAATGTGAAAAGTTTGAAGGTTATCCTGACATCAGTAACTGCAAGGGATAAAGATGAAGTCAACACAGCAAATTGTTGCTTTTGTATCCCAGAAAGATTTCATATAAATTTCTTAGGCACAACCTGTGTTGCTTTGAATGCAAACCTAGGTCCAGTATCTAAGGCCAGGATGTTGTTCAGAGCAGCTTCATGAGCCAATTGGCTTTGGGAGAGCAGAAGCACTATGTACCTATACATACGTATACCTCCTATGGAGGTGGGTTTACTGATCCTCACTGGACTCTTAAAGCCGTTATTTTTGGTCTCATCTCATGCAAATTTAAAATCTCTTTACAAACAAGTTCCAAGTGTCTTGTAATTAGATGCATTTGAAAATCAGTAATGTCTAAGTGATGTTGAAAAATTATTAGCAAACAAATGTCTGATCAGTTACACAATGGAGATTGCATACACTGCACTAATCAGATGGAGGGAGGCTGTTAGCAGCAGAAGTCATGCAGCTTCAAAGAGAACAACAGATGCCCAAAGACAAGGTTGATAATAAAATTGTAAGCATCCCTGTATGTGTAATTTATTCAGTTTGCTGTGCTCTTTATCTAATTTGCCATATGCTATGGGATATAAATTTTGTGTATGTGTTCTTTTTTTCTCTTCTACTCTGATCATTACACAAAAAGTACTAAAATCTTTACCAGGAGAATGCTGAGGATCTGCTGAGAGCAAGGACGTTTCAGAGTTTCTTCCTCTTATTATAACACAGGCCATTGAGTTCATCAATTTATGATGGTAGTATGTTGTGCAGGCTATGCTAGGCTAATAATTTGTCAATAAATACACTGTCTAGGCCTGATAGCAGAAAAGGGAAGAGGAGACTGGGATCTGAAACTTTTTTCTCTGAAAATGTTTAGGGGGAGGAGAGACAAAAGGGTGAAATACATGACTCCTTGTAGGGCTGACCTGTGTGCAACAGTGTGTGCTGGGCTGTGCAGAGCACGGGCAGGTGCTGGGGTTGATGCGGTGGCTAAGCTTGAGAAACAAATGCTGTGGCCACAAATGTATGAGGATGTTTGGGATTGTTTGAGTAGCAGAAAACTTCTGCAGTACCCTCTTCTGCCAGCATCCATGAGATGTGCCTTGCGTTGGTACCAGGGACATTCCTCCCCTGCAACTAACTGAAAAATTTCTGGATTCTGTTTCTAATTCACTAGTGCTAACTGGTTGGAGACAGCAGAGTCAGTCTGTGTTCTATGTGCTAAGGAGAGCTGCCTGTCATGTTTCCCTCCCCCCCAGAATATGGGAAAATGATGTCAGAAATGGTAGGGAGCTAAAAGCTAATAAGAAACATCTTTCTTCTCAAAGAACAACAGAACACTCAAAGGCAGACAATCTGAAGATGTGATGAGAATGCATAATTTAGCAAACATTAAGGAATATGACTTGAAATATGAAGAAACAAAGCCTGCAGATAAATTAAATGTCCAATTAAGCTATCTGGCTGCAAAGTATCTTCTTGACAGACAATTAGTTCTGTGCAAGTCAAACATCTAGCTATGAATTCATATAGGGCAGTTAAAGAAACCAAACTATATTTGATTTGAAGAAATAGTAAATTCAAAAGAATATAGAAGCTTAGGTTATATAGATTTCCATGCAGCTATTTCACTGCACGAGGAAGAAAGCATTTTTTTTTTTTTTTTTTCTATATGACCCTGTAGTACCTTCTCTCAATGTCTCAATTGGAATAGAATTACAGCATTGTCCTTCTGCCTGCAAACAGTGCTACCATGCACTATTCAGCAGTGTG